AAAAAAAAGATGGACAGGATATGTGACAAGAACTTACCGGCTAAGTCCAGATCCTAATCCAGTGGAATATGACATCAAAAAGTTCTGCAGGGACAAGTATAATATCTCTTCTGGCGTATGATCAACAATGGATAATCCAAGCTCAGCAACTTCAAGAATGAGATGAAATTCACAATCTGAGCCCAATGTTGTCGGCTGAAGCTGAGACTTACTTTCCAGGATTTGTTGTGCAGATGAAATGCTTCGATTTAGAAGTGTTGGTGCTTCATATCCTGGCATCCAGTCGCTGATCTTAACAACATTTACTCTCTCTTCCTTAATGATTGAGACTTGTATACCTCTCTTGGGTCCTCCAGAAACTTGGATGGGCTGATGATCTTTAATCTCATCAATATCATACGTCTGTGATGTCATGGGATCATCTCCATCTACCAAAACTTCCAAAAGTCGTTGTCTACCAACATCTTCCCATGAAAAAGAAGTTGCAGCATTGGGAAGTAGAGGCCTCCAGGAGTCATTGGAACCATTGACTTGTCGAACTTGAATAGGAAGAAACAAAGAACGATTTTCGATCCTGCAAATGGCTTGGTTTTAGAGATAGAAGCAGTGGAGTGCAGAAATAAAATTCACATTGATGCTCATGTTAGAAAAGAAGATTCAAAATATCACCTGTAAGGACTTGAATAGGATTTGGGACGGAATATAACTTCATAGCGTGAGGTCTTCGTCCCACCTCTGACCTCAATAGAAAAGTTGATTTGATCACCTCCAAGCTCACTTCTCAAGAATACGGACATTAGACCTTCACAGGTTACACTGAATGCCGAGCTCCATTGGTACCCATTCATCCGCAACTTGACCAATGAGACACGTTGAGTCAGTAACATATTTGAAGGTCCAAAAATACATAAAAGGTATGGTAATTACTCAGACCTTAAGCAGTTCAGTTTTTCCAGATTGCCACCCAAAATGTTTAGGAGGTTCTGTAGGATGAAGCCACTCTAGCAAATGAGTATCACATTGCTGGACGCATATGCTATGCCCTGCTCTGTTTACAAACATTGTGTGTGGCTGAAAATGTATGACCTGGACATATACAGGAATTGCAATTACAAACATTGAACAATTTGTTGCAAATAAAACAACAAAATATGGAATCGTAAATCAGAATTATAATGGGTATTGGTACCTTTGTTCTGTCAGAAGTCATGTGCAACACAGCTGATAGTTTGTAGTAAGTTCCAACAGATTGGAATGCCCTCACATCAACTCTTTGCTGAATATTCAAGTAAGAAATTGAGATTTGAGAGTGAGAGAACAGAAGAAGAAAAAAATTAACATAGTTATCATATTTTTACAGAGAATTGCTCAGTAAGTTAAAGGGAATGGAATGGCTTTGAAAATAATAGTAGCAGGGAACGGTAAAGAAAGTACTGATTATAGTTTTGGTGGTTGGTTAAGAATATGGAATCACTATCATTACCATCAATGGAGGTCAGTTTATGAGATATAAAAAAGTAAGACAACAACCATCTACCATACCCCCCAAATTAGGGGTATATGGACAGTTCCCAGCTTTTAGTATATCAAATTCAAAACCAAAACCCTTCAATCAAAACCCCAAACCAACGACCTATGTTTTTAATCAAACCAACCTAAAAACAAAACAAATCAAGCATGCCCTAAGAACAAATAATTCTCATCATATCACCTTTTTCTCCAGCTCAAGAAGGGATATTCCAGGACTGAATTTTTCAGAATTTCGCATAGCAACAGCAATGCCCACCCTTGGAGACAAATACATGTCATTTCGCGATGAAAAAAGCATAACACCACCACGGCCGACATAATCTTGAGGAGAGAGCATACTGGGTACTGGACTTGTATCTTCAATAGCTTCCAATACTTGAATATTTCTCCTCATACCAGCCTGTCTACTGACCACTGGTGTTGATGGATATTTTGATGCTGACTTTGCAGACTTAACTGCTTTGGATACCATAAGAGAATCCACTTCTGCACTTTCCAGCGGCTCAATTTCCACTACACGATATGCCAACGGGAGGAAGGAATCATTATTTATCCAGTAGGGAACAAAAAACCTGATTGTTTTCGGGGCAGCTGCAGTTCCTCCCAAATCCCGCTCAATGCTGACCCGTATCCTCCTGCAAGCAAGAATTGACAAAAAAAATTAAACCCAAGTAAAATGAATTCTTTATAGGATAACCTATTTGACATAAGACAACCATACATAATCACATTGGTTATGAAAAAAGATTTTGAGGTGAAAGATTTGAAGTTACGCGATCATTCCCGGACGCTAGTGACACGTGGCCAAACAAACTTTAAAGTTAGCGCACCGATACTTGTCAACAATACAGTTGAAACAGAAAACCTCAGTTCAATGAAATGGAATCCTTATATTTCATAGGCGAACTATATCCTCATGAGGACACGCCCCTTCTTGACATTCTCATATTCCAGAAGTATGTGGACCACGCACCATGGTAGCAGCAGTAATGATACAGAACAAGAAATTGTTGCAACATGCTAAATATAACTTTCAAGATTATACCTTTTTCTTTGCTGATGAAGCATCCAAAATGAAGAAACATGATTACCGCCCCCCATATCCAAAATAAGAACAGGGTCCTGATTCACCAGAGACAGAAGGGAGGCATCACCAAATAAATTTCATGGAGAAATAATTCCATGCACATATATTTCCAAAACATGCATATGCTATAATGCGAACTAAAAAAAAATACCTTCTCTACCACCCAACCACCCTGAACAAATAACATAACGTATATCGGATTCCGTATGTCAGCAGTGTATACGTGTACGGATCCCCGAGATGCTACAAAACCAGTCTGCCTTTCTATATTTTTGCCATCCCTCAGCTTTTCCCAGATTTTAAATTCTGCAGAGCAAGGAAGTCTGTTTTCCATCCTCAGAGGCGAGCTGGCCGATATTTTCCAGTCATAAACAGGGGTATTAAGATCTGTATGAAGAGCTGATGCATCTGTGCCAATTGAGAGCCAGAACAATCTACCACTAGATCCAGGACAGCACCAAAGAAGATCCTTCTTTTCAAGCTGATCTAGCCTCAACGGAGTAATTGGAGTTTTACTTGCATGTTTTAAGGTACTTTGACGAGAAAGTGAAGGTTGATCAACAGATAATGAATCCTTCTCCACAGGGACTGGTTGGCCCCATGCATAGGAAGTTTGAGAATCATCACTGTATGGACGAATTCGTAGACATTGGTTGGAATCCCGCAACATGCTTTTCCAGGGCAAAACCGATGAGCTACCAGGACAAATAGTGACTTCAAGGAAATCCTGGTTTGTTATAGCCCAGTCATTAACTTCTTGCCTAGTGCGGGTCCAGCGCCTACGGCGGACTGCATCACGAGCTGATTTTGTACCAGATTTGGCAGAATTTGGAGGCCATTTTAAACTTTCATATTCAGGCCCATAAGCCCAACCCTCAGAATCAACAAACTGAGATCTGTCAACAGTCCACGTTGATACCCATTTCCATCCGGGGGGAAGAGGAGGTTCAAAGAATCCCTTCACAAAATTAAGAAAACATCATCCAATATGACGCGACATAGGAACCAATATTTATAACAAAAAAAGAACAACAACAACAACAACTAAAAAGAAACTCACTTTAGATGAATATGAAAAATCCCTTGTACTCCAACGACCTGGATTCTTATCAGGGGAGCCATACTCAGTATTACCCCAACCAGATACAGGATGATATAGTTGATTTTCGAAGATCTCTTCAGTGATAGTGTTATTTTGTCTTGTCCTAGAGGATACCTCATGACCATTTAACATTGAGACTAGACATGTTGAGATATTCAATCTGATATCTGATTCATTTGTCACCACAGCAAGACCCCTGAAAACTGCATGCTTCTTCCCATCTTTCATCGACACCTCTAATGCCAAAAAATCATCTTTCAGTTTCCTGGGAATTACTGATAGAGGAAGTAATGAGCGAAAACCATCCCATGGACCTTCTGGACCAAGTCCAACCCAGAAACCCATATCTTCATCTAAACCATCTTCATCTCCCAGTTTATTATCGAAGTCATTAACCATGCTTTTCTCGATGAATGAAGTGGAAACCAAAAGGCAGGAATGAGAATTCGTTTCAACATCATGTTGGCCCTGAAAGAGAGTCACAGCGGAATATAACAAGTGAAGAAGAAACCAGAGAGAGAGAGGGAAGGAGAGAGAGACAGAGAGAGAGAGAGAGAGAGATCCTACATACCATTCTTTTCAATGGATAAGATGAAACACTTTGGACCTCAGACACTTGATGGAGCATTTTAACAGAAGAAATTTTTCTCAACAAGCTAATGCCATGTCCAACAGAAAACGAGCATGCACCGACAACCTCCCCTAAAATTTGTCCAAACAGGAGTTAGATCTCCACAATGTTCACAGTAAGACCACCACAATATTAAATTAACAAAGCTTTGCTGATAAATATGTGAAAACAGTTAGAAACCCACTAGGTCAAATTATCTGTAAGTTACACATCCCAAAAGGCAACTGTTATAAATTCTAAGTAAATATGTGAAAACAGTTGGAACCCACAAGGTCAAACTATCTGTTTAAGTTATACATCCCAAAAGGCAACTACTGGAAATTCTAATCAAACAATTAGCCAATGGCAAGTGGTCAATACCTTTACCAGCCTTTGCAGCAAGGTTTGTTACCTCCACCTCCAACTTAGCTGTTCCCTGAGACAAGTATATGTCTAAAAGTTTAGATAAACTTAGATATCTTCGGAAATACCAGTCAAAAAAAGTTCCTAGTTAGTTTGACTGCTAAAGGCCAACAGAAATATAGAGAAACTGAAGAATAGTTGGCTCTTGGAAAATATAATATCATAAAGGAGTGAACAGCATATAATACAGTAGAAATCAATAAGCCTCATCATGATAATTATAAACACATGAATGTGTTCCTTTTGGGGTTTCCCTTTTCAATTTATTTATCCCCATGCTTTGTTCTCCATTTGTATTTATCAGATTGGGAGACCGGGAGATAGGCATCACCAGTCCATCTCTCTAGTTAGATAATGAAAACTACTGATGAAACAAATGACCCTCAGGCAAACTCTGATCTTTTATGTCCAGCTATCATAGTGTTCTAACTTGATTTTCTCCCTTTTTCCTTCTAGATTTGGAGTTGGGTTGGCGGTTTAGGCTTTCTTACCTTCCGAGGAACTTCAAAAAAGAAGAGTTCGTTCCACTTGGCAGTGCCTTCATCAGAACCATTGGCATCGTTTGATAAAGGTCTAACACACTTTGTTCTCGCACTTTGTGGAAAAAGCTTTTGCGAATTAGCTTCTTGATTCTCTACAAGCACACGCAAAGCACAGAAGAAACGATGACTATTTCCATCGTCAAGAAGAGGTAATCCCTGCATACAATGCGAGCAGAATTAAAGAAACGATGATAACCGTGGTAAATAAAATCGGCATCAATTTTAAATATACTAAGTTGATAGATAACAACCTTCGCTTCAAATATTTGTATTCCAACATAACATCGAGGTTCCTTTGATTCCTCTGAAACATTTAATCTGTCAGAATACCCTGGAGGTGCTACGAACAATGCAGCAGAATCATCATGATGCAGTACATTTACTGTATCCAAAATGTCCTGAGTTTTTTTCAGGTATATATCGCATCCAAGCTTATTTTCAACTACCACAGTCTGAAAATCATCCTCATCCAAAGCCAAATGCGTTGATTTTTGGTCAGACACATCAAGACCAGCGGCATTCTGTGGAAGTTATTTAACTGTCAAAAGAGGTATAAACAGTAACATGGAGAGTGTAGGCAATAATAAGAATTATTCAACCTCATAAAGTCTCATTGCTCTCTTTTCTAATTCCTTCTGCCTTTTCCACGAATCTATAGTTTGTGCTAAGGTACCAACATTTGCAGCACTCAGATTCACATTCAGAATAGTGGTAGCTGCAACTCGCATTCTTTTGCCAACACTTGCTGGTTGGCTTAAATTGGTATCATATGTTTCAAGCCTTCCAGCATAAGATAATTACTTAAAGAGGTCAGTTTGCCAGGTTCAGCATTAATTATTTCTTCATAAAAAGAAAAGGGTGAACGAATTAAAATAAAATAAAATGGCAACCCATGAATTCTTACTTAAATATTCCGTCGAATGGCTCAATTAGTGGTTCCCATGCTTCTAACTGAATGTTAAACGTTGATGCTGCAAATGAAGAAATCAACACGGCATTCATTGCCTCAAGGTGGCCATGACTTGCTAGCTTGATGTTAGTAATTGTGGTATCAAATAAAGGGGTCATCTGGCAATAAAACAATGGTACAGGATCAAAAAAATAATCAGACTAAGCAACTATTGAACAACACAATTGGAAAATCAATCTGTCAGGTATAAACCATTCCACATAAGCTGTCCAAAACAGTTAGAGAAAAGCATCTTATTTTCATCTCAGCTGTAATGTTGTCCCTCGTCTTTGGCTTGATTGAATCACCAATAGTAAATGCCAATCTGTTTGATGGCTTTTTCAGGTCAGAACGAGCAAGAAATGTGCAGGCCTGCAAAATGAAGTAGCATACCAAATGTGAGGGAAACAAAAATGAAGACAGCCTTTTATGGAAATTTTTTATGAACAGAAATGGTGGAAGTAAGAGCTGTAGTAGATTAGACTCTTCGAAGTAATTAACCTGATTGTCAACTTTCCAGATACTCCAGCATTGGGATGACCTAGAACTTGATGATCTTGACATAGGCATCTCAGCTATGTTGGCTTGGCTAACCAAATCCATTCTTGGGCAGCAAATAGAGTCTAAAACAGGTGCCTCATCGTGGAGTGTGACAATACATCCCAATGAAGCATATCCTGGTGGCGCAATGGGGTACCAGAAGAAAGCTTCTTCCGAGCCTTTCTTCCCAATATGAGCAACTTTAGTAAATCGGTCAGGTTTTTCAGAAATACTGATGTCATCAGCTTTGAAAATGATGCCTAATGGAGGAGGTTCCAAGCTGGGAGAACATAATAATAATAATTATATATATATATATATATATATATATATATGTATATATATGTATATATATATATAAATGGAGTATCAGTGAATTATTACTAACACAAGAATACAACACCGAAAAAGAACCAAGAAAAAGAAAAAGAAAGATGGATAGAAAAGATCTTACCCTTCAGTTATGCAGTCACCCAGTATGGCATATCCAAGGCGTGGTATAGGCCTCCATATTGAAAATGACCGGCGAAGATCACCGCCTCTGTCCCACCAGATTCGTTCAAAATTTGGGGTTGACATGTAAAATGAGCTAGCTTTAGAAATTGATCTTAAAACACCCCAACCAGATGAAGTTGCACCCGGGTTACTCGTCTGGAGGTATGCATTTTCATGTTCACTATTAGAATCCAGGAGGGATTCACCTGAAGAAGCTTGATGCTGGCTAAAGTTAAATAGAAGAAGATGATTCAGATCAAAGCACAAACTTTTTGACGGACATTCAGCAGATGGATGTGCATAAAATGACCCAAGACAGTTGTCTATTCGCCATATGCTGAATCCAGATTCAAATATGTGATTAGCAGAAGAGTTGACTAGACATTCTAAATATGCCGTTGATGTCACAAGATCAGAACGAATACAGTAAACAGTGTGATTTGGAGGTGGTTGACTCCCAACATTTGCAACACAACCTAATGCCAAGTATCCAGCAGGTGCAACAGGTAGCCAAAGAGAACAATCACGATCAATATTTGAAAGGTCTTCTTCAGACTGCTGTCCCTGAATACTTGGAAATGTACCGATGAGCTCAAATCCAAGAGGCTTCCGAACACGACCATATGTATTGCTTACAGACAGGACTGACTGTGAAGGAGGATTTGGCCTGTGTGGTATGAAAATTACACAAATCAAAACATGCAACTGCATGTCAAGAAGAATGCAAGAACTAGACGCGATCAACACAGCAAAACTGGTCGTATCTTTTTTCATATTTCATTCCAAAATTCAGTTGCTGGGGAGTAAACAACAAAATGTACGCTAATGCCATCACTATGTTTCAGAAGGAAAAGACACAGAACACAGCAAGAAAAACATATGAAAAAA